TTCACGCGGCATCAAAAATGGAGAATCTATTGTTTTTTTCTTTATATTCCCAACACTTTTAGACCTTTTTTCTCCAAAAATAGAATGGATGTTATCTTTTGAACATAATTATGAAGTAGACATCACATTCAGAAGTATTAAGGGTAGAATGGCAGTATTTGATTTCAATTCAACCTCTAAAAAACACATAAAAGACATGCAACGAGAACCTTAGACCTATGTTACAGTTCACGCGGCATCAAAAATGGAGAATCTATTGTTTTTTTCTTTATATTCCCAACACTTTTAGACCTTTTTTCTCCAAAAATAGAATGGATGTTATCTTTTGAACACATGACATGAAAATGAATGGAGGTTTTTACTGATTTTTCATGATTTCATATGTGCATCACTATTTCAAAGTAAAGGTCAGAACTTGCTCTCTGACTCTGATGAGTACTCTTCTTGCAAATGAATAAATTACAGTTGCTCTGTAAAATATTTCAAAAATTAGTCACCAAATATGAAAACTAGAGTCTTTAAGCTTTCAAACGATATATAGTTTGTCAAGATTACTTTAGGTTCAGACTAAGATATTACTGTTTAAAACATGTAATGACAAGTGGGCCCACCGGTGGGCCAGTGACAGTTAACAGGTTAAAAACACATGGTTTAAATAAATTTTTTTATGTATTTATAATTTTGAAAGCAAACAAATAACTGTTTAGGAAAGGGACATCATACCTTTCAGAAAATATAATTTGCATATTAATTTTGCAATGAAAACGTATTTAACAGTAATATATATGTACATGACAGAGTGGACATATCTTATGGTTTATGCTTCGAATAATGGTCCATAATTATCTAGAAAAAATGTGTGGGAGCTCAGCTAATATGTTTCTATAGTACTTGAGTGTCTACTATTTATGATATGGCAAAGCGAATGGGAAATTAAAACCAAATTTTTGAGTATTGTGAGGGTTGAAAGGCACTCTATGGTGATATTGACCCATATAATGTAAAAATGACACGGTTGCAACTTGCAATGGTGACTCACTTTTGTTTTAAAAGGAGCTGTTTTTGCTAAGCGGTGTTCTGATTGAATTAGGGCTTCAGAGAGAACGACTGGCCCCTTATGAACCCTGCACAACCCTGAAGGCCCTGAATAAGGGAATCATTTATTCAGGATTCTGCTCTAGTGACTGGTCACATTGCTTTTCTATTTTCTCTGGTTTTGTTCATTCAGGAACTGCTGTTGAATAATGCCTATACAGCAGACAGAATGAGTTTGTTTTTTTCTTGCAATAGGATGTGGTTAAAGATATCTATCTCTGCAAACCTTACTGGAACTCTTTTTTGTGTGTGTGTGTGTGCAAAAATATGCAAATATGCAAAAACAATGCACATTTTTAGACCATTAAACTCTTTAATCTTTAAAGGTCAGTAAATGTAAAATTAGACAAAATGGACATGTCTAACTATTATTGGACATTAATTTTCAATCCAGAGATGTACTCAATATCAAAGTATTCAATATGTACTTGTGAGTAAAGAGAAATAGAAAACATCCCAGAGCACGATTTCCTGTCTACATTACACATCCTTGTAAATAAAACGAGTTGGAAGCACTACACCCAATGAAAAAAGAAAAGTGCAACAATCAAAACTTAAGTTTAGTGCAATACTTAGTGCTCAATATATAGTGCTATACTCAAATACTTAGTGCAATATGTGCACTTTTAAAGGTTGATAAAAATAATTAACCAGCACAGTGTTTACAGCATTTTTTTATGCCTACAGTCTAAATTGAATTTGTTGATACAATACAATGAACCATGAAATAATGTCAAGAAAACTCCCCTTATAATCAGTAAAGCTGTCTATACACAGTTTGATGAATGAATCTCTTACTTACATCATTCGTACATCTGCACTTTGTTGTTTATGATGGGAGAATTCATGTGAGAGCTGAATTCAGTAAGCGAGCGCATGCACCAAACAAAGAAACTCATCTGAACACCTTTGATTGGCCATTGCACTCGTAAGCTCAACAGACTCGTGTGTGATTGGTTATAATGCGCAGCACTGTAAAACCGCGTTAAAAGAATCATGGCGCAACACTGAGCAGATCTAAATTTAATGCTACAATTTAATGGATTTAGTTTAACTGTACAGCAGCATTTGTGTCTGTCTGTTGCCATAGTTTCTATAAGCGGAAACTGAGGATAGTGCAGATTTTACATCATTGATAGGCGACAATGACCAGGACGAGCCACATAAAACTGGAATTTCTCTGGATTTATGGGAACTTTTGGGATAACGTACGTAAGTACACAACTGCATGAAATATATCACACTGTGCAAGTCGTTTCTGGATATTTTATAACTAAAATCTTACATATTGTGACTCATCCTGCACTACACAGATTCTACTCAAATACTGTCTAGAATGAGAATGTCCCAGCCCCCAAAACTGACTACAACCGTCTGACTGTGAGGTCTACTGATAATTTAAAAAATAACAATACATTAAAAAATAATAAATAAATAAAAGTCCATCTTGCTCAAACTTGCTTTTTTAATCAGAAGCACATCAACACAAGAATGTCACAGGGTTCTTAAAGGACTACTACTACTAATAACCTCTAGGTCTCAGTTGCTGACTTAAATTTAGTTTAGCTAGCTTTCACGGCTTTATTCCCTGACAAGCCAGGTTTTTCTCAGAAAAGCAAAGGTGCTGGTCATGGACACTCTATCTCTGCTCACATTTTCAGAGATAATGATCTGCTTGAATTAATTTCAAATGCACTACTACAAGAAAGACAATGCAAACACAATGTTCTCTGTGAATTTAAGAGTGTGACTTTGTGGAACAAATAAAGTAAGCTCACTAAATCTGATTCCTGGTACAGCAGAGATGCTGCAGATATCAAAGCAGCTGAGTTTGACTGGCATGCCCACGTGGAAGCTTACTTGGTGTTTCAAAACATGTCATTCTTTTGGCTAAATATAGACCTCGTTGTTGTCACCACAAACTAAGAAGGCTACATGCGTACACTATGATATACATTCAATTTCGTCGCGTAACAGACATGCCTATGACGCGGCAAACAAAAAACCCAGGCATGACTTCTTCAGAGAAAAGTCATCGATTGGACATAAATATCGCTTAACCTCGGGAATTCTCGCTCTGACGTCAGAGCTGCACGCATAACTAAAATCTTACATATTGTGACTCATCCTGCACTACACCGATTCTACTCAAATGAATCTAGAATGAGAATGTCCCAGCCCCCAAAACTGACTACAATCGTCTGACTGTGAGGTCTACTGATAATTTAAAAAATAACAATACATTAAAAAATAATAAATAAATAAAAGTCCATCTTGCTCAAACTTGCTTTTTTAATCAGAAGCACATCAACACAAGAATGTCACAGGGTTCTTAAAGGACTACTACTACTAATAACCTCTAGGTCTCAGTTGCTGACTTAAATTTAGTTTAGCTACTTTTCACGGCTTTATTCCCTGACAAGCCAGGTTTTTCTCAGAAAAGCAAAGGTGCTGGTCATGGACACTCTATCTCTGCTCACATTTTCAGAGATAATGATCTGCTTGAATTAATTTCAAATGCACTACTACAAGAAAGACAATGCAAACACAATGTTCTCTGTGAATTTAAGAGTGTGACTTTGTGGAACAAATAAAGTAAGCTCACTAAATCTGATTCCTGGTACAGCAGAGATGCTGCAGATATCAAAGCAGCTGAGTTTGACTGGCATGCCCACGTGGAAGCTTACTTGGTGTTTCAAAACATGTCATTCTTTTGGCTAAATATAGACCTCGTTGTTGTCACCACAAACTAAGAAGGCTACATGCGTACACTATGATATACATTCAATTTCGTCGCGTAACAGACATGCCTATGACGCGGCAAACAAAAAACCCAGGCATGACTTCTTCAGAGAAAAGTCATCGATTGGACATAAATATCGCTTAACCTCGGGAATTCTCGCTCTGACGTCAGAGCTGCACGCGCGCTGTGTCTCCCCTCCGGTTCCGCAGCGACACGCGCGAACGCGTTCAAAGCGTCGCGTGGCGGCGAGCACGCTCACGCGCAATTCATTCACCCGAAGGTCCCGCGCGCCTCGCGAACGCGCTTTACTACACAGCCAGCTAAAGGGAAAGAAGAACATCTTTCGAGCCGAAAACGACACGCGAATACACACACAAAAAGGCGTTTGGGCTTTATTATCATTGCTTACCTAAAATACGCGGTTAATTTATATAAATGCATAAGTCAAAGGCAGTGACAGATGATAACCTGAGCTTTATCCTCCCCCACTTCCTAGATGTTTGACTTGAAAACCTCCCCATCATACAACGCTATAATCCGTGCATTAGCTTTCACACTCCGTTTCACCGAAATGCCCCAAACCAACCGAATCAGCCCATACTGCTTAACGGATAGCGATTTAAAACATCGACTGAGGTGAAACCGGAATGTGCTAGGCAAATGTTGTTTTATTTGAGATGAAAAATAAAACCCGTAATGTCCGTGACACACACCGGTCTTCCTGTAATAACTGTAAGTTACACTGAAAACCCATCACTCCTGGAGCACGACTGCTGCATGGGGCTCACAAAATACATCTTACAGCAGATGACAACTCAGTTTAGCTTTCCAAACACATTTCTATCCCATCCTCATGAAGCGAAACGAGCAGTAAGAGAGACGCGAAAATAAGCGGTATTCCCTCCTCGACTGCGAATAAGCGCTGTAGTCTATCTCGAAGACATTCAAGCTCTCTGTTTCTAGGAAAGCTTCGTTCTCATCAAGCCATAGAAGTAAGTTCCTGCCAATTAGACTGTACAAAAAACAAATGCAGAAACAGAAGATTGGGATTTACGGAGGACGACCCTTTCTTCGGGGGAAAAAAACGGGAAAGAACCCACCATCCACTGGCAAACTAATCGTTTATGCTGTTAAAAAAAACGCTGAGGATGACAATACTTACAAACTTGGCATTAAAATGATCTGGAGGGCGGTAGCCGTTTCGTTTTCTGAAGCACATCCGTTTGTTTTTTTGGCTGTTTTATGGGTAAAATACAGTATCTTTTTTTCCTCCAATGTTCCAGCTTGAGAATCGACACCCTTACGGAGGCAGGCTGAGGATGAATTGCGCATGCGCTGATTTAGACCGTTCTACTCAGTCGATTGACGAAGGACTTCCTCAGTAATTGTCATTTCCAGCGGAACTTTTCAAGTTGATCTTTCTATAACCATGCAGCTGAAATATAGTCAACAATGTGTTGATTAAACTAATAAAACAGAACTGTTTGTATAAAGAGCACTTTTGGGGGGTTACAAAACGTTTGGGACTTTAGAATAAGGCTGACTAGGCCTTGCATTACTTGACTTTTATGCAGCCTATCATTTGACAATAATTTCCCTTTTATATATTCTCTCTAATATATGTGAATAACCCTAGCATTCGTATAACTTCTACTGGCAGGCTGAGGATGAATTGCGCATGCGCTGATTTAGACCGTTCTACTCAGTCGATTGACGAAGGACTTCCTCAGTAATTGTCATTTCCAGCGGAACTTTTCAAGTTGATCTTTCTATAACCATGCAGCTGAAATATAGTCAACAATGTGTTGATTAAACTAATAAAACAGAACTGTTTGTATAAAGAGCACTTTTGGGGGGTTACAAAACGTTTGGGACTTTAGAATAAGGCTGACTAGGCCTTGCATTACTTGACTTTTATGCAGCCTATCATTTGACAATAATTTCCCTTTTATATATTCTCTCTAATATATGTGAATAACCCTAGCATTCGTATAACTTCTACTCTACTTAAATGTGTTTATGATATTTTTACAGGTATAACACTTTACTGACTGCAAATCAGACATAAAATGTGTTAAATTACGCAGGATGTCTATTAATCTAACCATAATTATTTAATAGATTATAATCATGTTTTTATACAAATCTGGTAAATATCCAGCAGGGGGCGCCAAACACTAAGGAGAACAACGCGTCACAAAAATCCCTCAACAGCATTTCTGCAAGATTCTTGAAGATAGAAATGTTCACTATCAAAAAAAAAAAATAATCAAAATGCAACTCAGCTGTGTTAATATACAAGTCTGATTACTTTAAATTGTCTAGATCAGTTTCATTCCAAGATTCCACATGCTTTTACTGATAGAGTACAGCATTGCTACACCAGATATTGTGAACTGATCTGAAGTACTGCATCTCTCTTGATAAACTCCACTGTTACTTCAGCAGTTACAGGGTGAGACTGACTATAGGAGGTGGATGAGGGTTACGAGGGGACATCTGTGTGATGGCCACTTGGTGTCAGTAAAGCTCTCTGCCTCATTTGTAGGGCTGAACCCCCTCCCCTATACACTATTAAGAAGCCCACAGTTTGATGTATCATATGATTAAATGCTTATCCCTCCTAAAAGCACCTACTTTGCTGAGCATTTAGTTAGTGGGAGCAATAAGAATGTCTTTAAAAAGCATTTGGTAGTTAAATTCCTTTTAGGTATAATTAATGATAGTGTTGTTAAGGCTACAGGCAATTTTCTCTCTCCACCTTTAAGTAGCAGCTCAGCTAATTGTGTTACTTGCTTCCTGTCATCTTCGGCTTCACCCCCATCTTTAATCTAAGAGACATGAAATTGACCAATCTTTCACCCTCCTTCCTTTCTAATTACAATGCTGACATAATGACTTCAAGCCATAATTGGGTTGAATTCTGACTTTGTTTACCCGCCCCTGATGAGGAGAACCAAAATGTTACCTCAGGTTGAACAAAATATGGGTGTTAAGGCCGTTTACACCAAGGATGATAACTATAATGATACCAATATAGTTGTTTTTTTAATCATTTTGTGTTTAAAAGAATCCACAACACAACTATAATGATAACGCCACATAGGAACCATACCGTTGGAATCCCTTTCAGAACATTTTTTATTATTATTTGACAGCCAATAACAATCTATCTTGCTTTAAAGAGCTAGAGCATTTAAAGCAGCAGGAGACAAAACTGCATTGCACTTATAATAAAAAGAACATTTTCTTGCACTGGTGTGGATGCTAATATAGTTGGTTACCTTTATAGTTATCATTCTTGGTGTGAACGGGCTTTAACTTTTAAAAACTGTTCTAAATGTAAGAGAATAGCAGCCCAGCTAACAATTTTTGGTTCCCAGAACATCCTGGGAATGTTCTTTTTTGGTTATAAAAATAAAACCCCCAAAACAGCCATTAGGGAACATTCTAGGGAACTCAGTTCTAAAAAAAACAGTAAAAAAAAAAACAGATAATGGAAAAAACAGCCAAACAGTAATCAACTGAGAACATTAGTGGAATGTTCTGTGTTTGCTGGGAGAGTTCACATCACAACTGTAATGCCAACGACACACAGAGGAACAATATCATTGGAATCACTTTCAGAATTATTTTTTTCATTGACAGCCATTTAGAATCCATCCTGATTTACAGTGTTTGAGCAATTAAAGTGGCTGACATTAATAACTGCAGTGCGCACTTACAATAAACAGTAATAAATACTAATATAGTTATATTTCGTTATTGTTCTTGGTGTAAATGGGCCTTAAAGGGATAGTTCACCCAAAAATGAAAATGACCCCATGATTTGCTCATCCTCAAGCCATCCTAGGTGTATATGACTTTCTTCTTTTAGGCAAATACAGTCCGAGTTATATTAAAACATGTCCTGGCTCTTCCAAGCTTTATAATGGCAGTGATATTCAATAGTCCAATAGAAATCCAATAAAAGTGCATAAATTCATCATATTAGGTGCTCCACATGGCTCTGGGGGGTTAATTAAGGCCTTCTGAAGTGAATCGATGTGTTTTTGTACGAAAAAAATCCATATTTAAAACTTTATAAACCGATGACCGATCCCTTTAACTATAATGCTAAAGATAGTTTTAATAATCGTTCTAAGAATAGCAGCCCAGCTAACTATTTAGGTTCCCTTAGTAGAAAAACTCATAGTTAGCTTTTGTTTACGAAAACAAAACCAACGGAGAGCATAACGAAAAATAACAAAACAGGAATGTTAGGGGAACATTTAGTGTTTGCTGGGAGAATCCACAAAATAACTATAACGCTAACGGCACAAACAATAAAAACAATGACAGGCACTCAGAATCTGCCCTGCTTTAAAGAGCTTGAGCATTAAAGAGCAGCGTCATTACAATAAATTATGTTATTGTGTGTCGTTGTGGATGCTAAAATAGTTATTGTTATAGTTATCGTTCTTGGTGTGAATGGGCCTATTTTTAAAAATCGATCTAAATTTAAAAGAATAGCAGAGTCCACAACACAACTATAACGATAAAGGCCAAGGAGGATAACTATGCGCTCACTTTCTATCATTACGTCAGCAATCTGCAAGGTGATTAGAGGGCAGCTCTATTACTCGGACACTCACACCTTACAAGCTGATCATCCACTCACAGTCCGACCTCCCGCTGCCAGATTCACCCCCTGATGCTTCACAGACACTTCACACACAAAAAAGCCTTGTTGCCAGCAATCTGTGTTTGACTGCTACTGACATGGCAAGCTGCCCTGTTCTTTAGTCTCTCTTCTATTTGCCGGTAATGTCAGTCTGGGCTTTTTTTCCCCCTGGAAACCTCTGTGCCTCAGCTGAAGACTTTCATTTTGGCTAAATGGGTTTTTGCTCTCGATCATAATCTGCTGAGATGGGATTACTGAACATCCAGTCTCCACTTTGGCATCCCCCTTTGGTTTCCACATGAAAGAAAAGCAGGTTTGAAGACATAGGAGAAACTATGAAATATGATATAATAAGATCAGAGGTTTAGACCTCTGGTTATTGGAACTGCAGCACAATGGATTTTATATAGAAGTCCTAGTCCTCATATCTGATATTGGTTAAATATGAATGAATATTTTTAAAAATGAACAGAATTAAGGATGCATGATACTGTATACCAGTACCATATCTGTTACCGGTTCAAAGTACTTTCAATATATTTTACATTGAATGCACTGAAAAACTTGAACTTAAAACTTGAATGAACGTTTGAAATGTTGCCTTGGCATACTGACATAAGTTGGAGTAAAATTATTCAAACTGAAATAAAAAGCTATAGTTAAATGTATGATTCACATTTAGCATTAAAATGTTACACTTGTGCATTTAATGTTTTATTCTTTATTTATTTACAAAATAGTATATATTATTCTTTCTTTATTTATACAAAATATCATAGAATTTTAATATTGCCCATCTATCAGTTACCAGACAATATAAAATTAATAATTATTGAAATCAGAATCAGCCAGAATCCCTAAACATAATTGTTTCAATGGTCTGTGGTAAGGTAATACATCTTGAAATTTTAACTAAGAAACAATGCAAACATACGCATGAAGATTTGGCATGCAAGGCCACCATGCTCTGCATTTTCAGTCTCAGATCATTCAGAAAAGATATTCCTTTTCGTCTTCAGTCACCTATGACTGATGGACAGGCCCTTCTCATCCTCTAGGATCTCCTCAATTCTTCGTCTCTAAAACAGAGCAGAAGAAAACAGAAGAAAATGTAAGCAACAGAAGGTGCTAAAAATTTTATTTGAAAAGTTTGTGTTCTTAAAAATGCCCTTCTATTGCTTTTATCCAAAGCGACTTACAAATGAGGAACACTTCAACATAAACATTTAATGAGCAGTCAAATTAAACCGACAGTTCACCCAAAAATGAAAATTATGTCGTCATTTACTGCCCTCATATCATTCCAAACATTTATAGCTTTCTTTCTTCTGGATAGATGATATGTTGAAGAATGGTTTTGTATATACAATGAAAGTCAATGGGGCCCAAAACACTTTCATTTAGCATTATTATCATTAACAAAACAAACGGACCCACTTTATATTAAGTGGTCTTAACAACTATGTACTTACATTTAAATTAATAATTTGGTACAATGCACTTATTGTGTACATACATGTTTTTACATTGTACTTATATTTTAAAAATACCTGTATATAATTACATCTGT